CCCAACCACCTGCTCGAAGATTATAGGTGTTACAAGAGAGTAACAAAGTAACAAACACAAAAAGGAAGGAGAGATCAGGACGATAGATGTTTGATAGGAAAGGAGTGTGAAAGGAGCAAACCACAGCAGAACATCCGCCAACAACCCGCGTCCATATCTCTGTTTTTGATACCGTATCGAAAGCATCAAGTCTTGATACATAATTTTCATAATACGTGTACATCCACATATTTTATACCGATACGCTGAGACAGAACCGAACCGAGCTGGGGTTATGCACAACTTGCAGTTTGCAGGCCCTCTACTTCTATGCATCTTAAGGTACCGGTAACTGCTACTCCCAATAGCCGGTGGTCAGTATGGGTAAGGCAAGAACGCCGGACAAGACTTACGTTTCAGTTTCAGAAATGGGGTTGGGGATTTGCAGTTTTTGACAAGCCAGCATAATTCGCCTGAAGGCAGATTAGAGGTGGGTGGTTGGCGAGTGGTCTGGTGTGATTTGCTTCTTCTTTACTGTCAAACATATGTCGACCCTATCTCTCCACCATCTTTTTAGAGTTTGTTAACACTCCTGTAACACTTGTTAGTCTAATCTTTGGACCTAATCGTGCTGCAAGAGCTGTAAAACTCAAACTAAAACAACATGCAGTAGTCAAACTAGTCATAAGTTGTTTTTGTTTTGTTTTTTTAGTAGAGGTTATACGGCGCTCGCAACTGCATAAAGTCATATGAGCGCCAGAAGATTAGAGGTGTAACAAGAGAGTAACAAACAAAAAAAAGAAGAGGAGACAAGGACGATAGATGTTTCATAGTAAAGAAGAAGCAAACCACACTAGAGCACTCGCCAACCACCCACTGGGCATAAATGAAAGGATACACACCCCATCCCTACCCTCAGGGATGGGTGCAACCAGCTCCTCTGGCAAAGGGCTGGTATCTTTTCTCTATACACCTATAGTATTACGGTCGGCTCTCTTTCATGCCTGTTTGGAGACAAAGATAAAGCTTTGGATCCAGCAACAAATAGATCCTGTTTGCCCCTGAACCTAGCAGCAGGGCGGCACATACTTAAAATGCATTGTATAGAATTAACAGATCAAATTTTGAAGTGCCAAACCGATGTGCAACCTGTGTAAATACAATATTTCTCCTCTGAATGGGCTATACAAAATCAACGGTATTCATTCTTAAAACTGCAATTAGGAAAGAGAGTAAAACACGTAAGCCAAGACTAGAGTAAAAGCCATATAAAAATTAATTTTATTTCACCCATACATAAACAGAGTATTGCTTCTAAAAATCCACAAAGCAACACACAAGGTTGGTAAGAGGGTTGGGATGAGGGGCAGACGGAGAGACAGGAGAGGAAGACGATCAAGAGAAAGACAGCAAGTCTCAGACTCGGAGCACATTCTGCCGGTTGCTACACACATCATATTGTCAGACTACACACACTACATACATCTGCTGGCTGCCTGTGTAAAAGTTTTGTGCTTCAAATTGAAAATTCATTCAGGCCTACTTTACGAGACCAGCTGCTTTGACTTTGCCTCTATCAGGGCCAACCCAAACTGAGACAGACACAGAATCCCCGAAAAAAAAAAGCTGCACGAGACACTGGACAAAATACACTTTTTTTGCAGAGATCAAAATAAAACTCACATCATTTGCAAGCAGTGTCAACAGAAGAGCCTAACTGTCATACCACAGACCTCGACATCTACTGAGCACCAACAGTAAAACATCAACCTGATTTTAAAAGATGTATAGACGGGCTGCTTTCACCCTGAATCATGGCCAACTCTGGCTGTGTATAACCCAGCATCCTAGCAGAAAGAGGAAGATACTCGATACATGCACAATATCTTCCCCACTTGAGAATCAAGCCTGTGTCTTTGCTGGCGAGAAAGGTCAAGAGCTCTACAAATTGCAACACAAAATTAGATGCCAGTAGACAGTTCAACACTTGTAGAGCATTAAGAAGCACCATAGCTACTTTGCAGTTCCACAAACAGGTATCATGTACCACGTGCTGAACTACCGTCTATCAAATATATGTAAAAAAGGGGTATGTTTTCATTAAAGCTATAACTTTCTTATTTAGGCCTGAAATTGGCTCAAATTTTGACACAATTTTAGAATGGGATAGATACTTAAACTAATAAAAAGTGTACATCTATCACGATTTTGTGTAGGAAGTCAGACAGAATGAGAGGAAATGGAAAATCTCTTGAGCTAAGTTAGCGGCAAACAATGGAACTGAGCAATCTGCATGTAGTTGCAATTAAAAAATTCGTAGAAATTCCATTTCTTGTGCTGACGAGTTCTTTCTGGCAAGCCACAAAAGTGGAAGAGAAGAGCTAATAAATGGTATCTACTTTTATCACGTGTTTGCAAAAGTATTGGATTTTTAAAAAATAATGTAGCTGAAATCAAACATCTACGAAGAAAGGAGTCGTCTACAAATAGGAAAATATCGCTATTATGCGCGATCAACGGATTCAGTGAGTTATAAATGCCAACTGGCACTTTAACAAACAGCACAACCAAACAACACAAATGCACAGAGTGCATGATGGATCTGACAACTTGTTCATTCGGCTTTCTTCTCCTTTGTTACTCATATAGAGTCCTTGCAGTCTCTAAACTCAAAGCAGTGGCCAACATTCACATGACCAAGGAAATATACAGGCCACCAGTGATGGAAAGGCAGAGCTGTCAGACATCACCTCAGATATAAGTGTTGGAAATCACACTTTACATAAATGAGATTGCGTGTAAATAATTTATTAGAAACAAAAATCAAGGAGCTTAAAAAAAAAAAGGACAAGAATTAGAACACTACTCAAAAAAATAATTATGAGTACGTTTCTTAAAAACTGCCACAAACACTTTATGCAACCATTTAGCAATACAGGGAACCTGTCGGGGAAAATCATAGCTGTTCAAAGTCATGTCACAAAAACAAGACTGCCATAGAAGTTAGATCTAGGCAGAATTTTTTTTCTGAAGAAAAGAAAAAGACAAAAAGCTAAAATGAGTGAATCTCTTATCATCCAACTGCTGCTATAAATAGATACTCGCAACAACAGTTCAGGACACGTAAACCCACAAGCCACTGGGTCATTCTGGCCTATCTTTGGAAAATTCTGAATTTGGCTCCCAGTTTCCTTCTGTAATCAAAGTTTGGAATTAAGGTCGTACAAGTAACTGTTGTCTCCCCTTACTAAACTAAAACTAGCAAATTCTTCACCCCCCCCCCCCCCCCTCCCCTCCCCCCCCGACAGATTATTCAACAGTTTTTACTATATGAAACTGTCCTGAATTTTTAGAACGTGAAATGACCCCCTAAAATACTCTCCGTTTAAAAAAAATAATAAACAAGGATTTCTTTACGTAATATTTTTGAGAAAAAAAATTGAAAAGATATTTGTCCAAGTTTCAACTTCATTGTGTCCCCTGATTCTCCTGAAGTAACTAAATAAAACCAGCCAATAGACCAATTCTGTTCTAAAAGAGACTATAAAAAAAAAAATGAACTCATGGTCTATCCTAAAAAACATGATGCGTGCCAGGTAGATCTAGCTCAAAGAAACCAGTCGTAGGCTTTCGTAAATTTACCTCAAGGTCTAAACTTGGCACTTCTAGTTGACAACGGTAGTGGGACCTCAGAGCGCTTTAATTAGTAAATCGTTTAAGAGGCGGGCAACTCCAACCCTCTCTGTCAGGGCCTATCTCCGTGACTGAGTGCGACACAGCATTCCAGCGCAAAGACGGCAAACCTGGAGAATATAACATCACTCCCCGTGTCTCTTTCAAGCAGGGCAAAGAGCCAAACCATCCCAACAGACGCCAGTCTCTACTCACGTCACTACAAGGCATACAGCAAAACAACTGTCAATACTAGCCACAGCACAACTCCACCCCCTTCCACATGTCTTCACAAATATCGGCCGTTAGGATACACCAAATTAGTCTGTTCCATTCCAAACTACGCAAAGCCACATCCACATTTGGCATGCTCACATCATACTAAATGAAAAATGTTGAAAACTTTGTATCTTCGCCAACAAGAACTCATTACATCTGGCAGCGTTGATCTTGTCAAAGCACTTCATTTTTCCCATGATCTTATTTAATAAAAAAAAAAAGAAAAAAAGAAGTAAGAACAACTAAATCTCATAAAAATGAATTAGTGCATCAAACAAAAAAAATTTTCACAGCGCACTTGCCACAGAAAATATGAAGACCTGAGAATTTTTCCACTCTGAGGTGCTGCTCTAGTATAGTATAGCTTGTTCACTTTCATCTGTCCATGTTAAAAAAAATTCCAGCTAATTTTTTATTAAACGATGAGCATGGAACTCTGCATAGTGCTCTTGTAGGCCATCGACCAAACAAAAATATGTTTAAAACAAATCTGAATCTAGTAATAAAAAAGTTTCTTTATTTGGGCCCTACATTAAATACCGCCCTTTGGGTGCATGCACAGGATCACTGCAATAAATGATACACAGTAATCCATCCTACAAATTGCTCATTTTGAGACAGCGACACCAACCTATCCCCACATTTCAATATGTAAGCGTGTCGATTTCATTCCAAGATGTGTTCGACTGTTTCCACTTGAGTCTCGAAAAGTACACATCCGTCTATCTGACCATGTTTCAAAGGTGAGCATTAAACTGTTGTGTTGATGAAAAGAGGTTAACTTTTTTATTTTTTTGGTGGGTGTGTATGTGTTAATCTCCAAACATTTTTGATTAGCTTTAGGCTAACATCAAAAGAGTCGAATCGATACCTTAGTTTGCAGCAACCTTCATTTAATGGCCTTCTAGATTCTGTTGGTCATCAAACTATCAGACCCGCATGCAAAGGCCTGAGAAGATTAAATGGAGTGATTTGGTTTTACCAAGTTTTAACCACAGCCAGACGAAAGAGAACAAACTATGGTGATAAATTATGCAAGTTCACACAAAATCTGACCATTGTAACGAGAAAAAATAAATAAAAATAATAATTATTAAAATAAACCAAAAACAACTTTGACCTCATCAAAGTTGGCACTGGGAAAAACTATATTCCATCAAATTACTTTGTTCAATTTGTCACCTTTTTTCCCAATCAAACAATAAGTGCGAGAGAGGTGGGAAAGTGTGTTGAGAAAATGGTTACTGTAGGAAAATACCAATGATATACATAAATATATTGAAAATGGAAGCCAAAACTATGTGAGAAAGAAATCCAACCCAACGATATGGAGGTTTTGAAAGCAGTATTATTATAATAGAGATAATAATTATATATTATAGATCTACAACCAGCCCAGCTCCACAAGACAACAAGCTAAAATGTATCAATAAAATGCCACATCTCCATAGGAGCACATTGCATTGTTCCACCTTCTGAAAAAAGTTTTCCGGGAGTTTTGCCTTAAGTTTTCAATTTCCAGATCGATATTAGTAGAATCTATTTCAATTTTTTTTTTAAACCACCAAAACAATAGATAAGTAGTCAGAAGTGGGAAATAACGCAAGTTTGTGGCATTTGAAAAACCTTTTTTATGATAAAATTTTGAAAAAAAAAAAGAATTTTTCAATGGAAAGCAGAAAGTGTTGAACGTGAACACAGGAGAAAAATACTCCTAAACAATTATGGGATTTTCATGCGCTCAGTAATCACTATTTGAATCTGAAAGGATTAAAAATGTACACAAAGTCAAAAAAAGAAAAAAATTCTTGAAAAAACTACACACTACGGACAGCCTTTCTAACTTCACTTTTGGGACAGGAAGAGAAGGGGGCGGGGAGAAAGTCCTCCCATCACATATTGTCGCTGTCACAAGCAAAATGAGTAGCCCACAATTTTTTTTTCCCCCAAGTACCCTGGACAGTAGAGTCAAATAAGGTAACACATTTTTCTTGTTACAGAGACAATAATACATGACTTGCATTGAGAAAAGCAGCAGAGACATCAAACAGGGAAAGCAGGCAAGATTCTCCGTCAGCAAGCGGCCGTCTCCGCTGGATCTTTCGGCTGCGTGTTTGAGACATCGCTACTCTTGTCAGAACACATGCTCTCCCCTCCACTCGGTGTCTCAGCAGTAGCTCCCGTTGCCGCACCGGACTCCACGCTCCCACTAGCTGCATTTGTAGCACCATTTCCCACCTCAGGATTTGAGTTGGACGATGTTGATGGGGTGGCTGTGGTTGACGATGGTGACGATGATGGAGAGGGCACTACAGGTGACGACGTTGCGGGCACGTCTCCTGGGCAGGCTTTTGTCGAGGAAATTTGAGGAGAGGGTTCTGCTGCTGACTCGGCTATAGAGCAGGGGAGGTTCGGGTCAGAGCAACACTGTTCTGTTGATGAGGAATCTGGAGAATTCGGGGGTGCTGTTGATGATGGCGGGGCGTCATCTTCTGTCCGAACATGATCTGTCAGCCAAGAGGGCAAAAAAAAAAATTGTACTTTACCCTTTTTTACATTGCACCACTATTTAGCAGGATATCAGATCTCACATCTCCACTGTCTAAGAAGAGTGGGTAAAACAAAATGCTTGATGAATCCAGAACACAACCACAAAAAGACAATGAAATTATTAAAAGTGGAAATTTATCTTTACCAATTCTGCTCTTTTTTTAGTACAAATTCTACAGCACTTTCATTACAAATAGTTTATGTAAGTGCCAAAGACTGGAGGTGTCACTAATAAGTAACATACGAGGGAAAAAAAAGGAAGGCTGATAAGATGTTTGATAAGAAAGAAGGGGCAAACAACGCCAGAGCACCCACCAACCAACAACTCTCCTATGAACACAACAAGAGAAACTAGAATCCAGTACTAGACATTCACCATACCTGTATTCGCCTCCAAGTCACCAGAAGTCTCAGACGCTGGCTTCTTCCCGTGAAGCTCCCCCTGCAACGCCCTGCACAAAGACTCCAGCTTCTTGCACTTTTGAACGTAGGTAATCGTCTCCTTCTCCGACTTGTTTCTCTACAAGATTAAAGGACAGGAAAAAAAATAAGTGCATTTCTTTGATGGTGCTGTATGTTGATGTGATGTCCTGGAAAACCAGCCAAAATTCCCTGATGGATCAATAAATTTTTATTGTTTTTTTTCTTTCTTAAAAGCATATTTTGAGGGATATTTTGGTAACCTCTTTTTCAGTAGAGGTTTTACGGCGCTCGCAACTGCATAATGGTAACTTCTGACATTGGCTGAATTCAACAGAGATGTAGTATACACAATAATAGTCCATTAATGCAAGGAGAAAGTAAAACAGACAGAATTGAAATAGGATACTAAAGAAGTTAGAAGACTTGACCAATGGTACCCCCCCAATCCAATCCCTTCCAAAATTTTATATATGAATACATAAAAATTTTGCTGAAGCAACATAGTGACAAAGCTGAGACAACCATTTTTTTTTTTTTCCTCCAGAAGATACAGATTATTTCAAAGGTGGAACAAAGAGTAATGAAAGCAGACTGGGTGAAAAAAATGTGGGTACTGTGGTACTGTTGTTCATAGTTCTTATTTTATAAAGGCAAGGGTGCCACCCCTTGCTGGAGAGGGTTTTTAAAAGTTTTAGTCAGAGTTTTTCAGCACTTATAACACAATTGGGTTGAATAAGTGCAAAAGATTGGAGGTGTTACACGATAGCAACATACAAATAAAAGAAGGAAGAGAGATAAGGACAACAGACGATTGATCAAAAAGCAGGAGCAAACCACACCAGAGCACCCACCAACAACCCACAACAGGAGAGGTGCAAAATGATGAAACGATGAAATGGTATCGATTTAGTCTGTTTCAGTAAGGTTTCACGGCGCTCGCAACTGCATAAGGTCATATGAGCGCCAAGGGGTGGATGTCAACAGAGAAGTCCTAACAGGGAATCAGACTTACTCTGCTCACCTCGCTAGCTTCAACAGTACAAAGTCTGCTTCGACTATCGATTTAATGCCTCTATCAACACTATTAGGTTATATAAGTGGTAAGTTCAAATCCATCTCCAAAAGGACTGAGCCAGATGGGGAAATTCGTGTAAAGTACCTTTCCCAAGGACACAACTTCAGACCAGGCTGAGGCTTGTACCTTCGAACCCGCAATCTCACGATTACAGGTCCAGTAGCCTAACTACTAGGCTACCGACACCACCCAGGAGTGCTGCAACAATGTGCATTTAGACTGACCACCCAAAAAAAAACCCAGGCCAATTGCCACTGAAGTGGGTAAAGCAAAAGCTGTCCTTTCAAAGGTAACAGTACACACAAAAATGCTAAAAATGAAAAAGACAGTGGCCAAAAAGGATGGAATGCAATTAAGCTTTCAATGTAAAAGACTGTGAAAAAAGAGACCATCAGGTGAACTTTTCTGCGTTTTCATTGCAGAAATGTTTGCCATCTCCTCCCTTTTTGTAAAACATATTTAGAAAGTTAGAGTAGAAAGACACAAGTCTGACGGAATCTTGGCCAACTCCTATCCCATAGCTGCCACTCAGGAATTTCAAAAAAGGAGGAAATTCATGCGAAGGCGGACGCGCGCTCTTCGAAGGCCGGAGTAAAACCAGTGAGATCCAGAGGCAACATATACTGGAAAATCTAACCTATGGTTTTGGAAGGGAAAACTGTCATATTTGTTAACCATAGGCAACTAAATTAAAATGTATTTGAAAAACCCCCAACAAAAAACAAACCAAAAAAACCCCAACAAAGGCACTAAGTAGACTAACAAGCATTTGAGTTAATTTGACACAGTTTGGACTTAGTGACTAAAAATCCAGTGTTTGTTGCAAGCTGGTGTCTTATAAAAAGATTTCTTTCACTTTAAACTTGTACATCGATGTAGAGCGCGCGCAGTATTGGATCAAGGAGGCAACTCCTTTGCCGCTGTACTGAGCACTCCTGTACAATTGCGGTCCCCTTTGCACTTAACTTAGTAGTCCCTCTGTAGTGTGTAGATCTAACCTGAATTACAATTATAGCCTAGGCTATCTAATCTAGATCTAGATATCTAAATATGTGTAAATCTAGATTATATCTAGATTCTAGAGATTATCTAAATCTAGATCTAGATCTAAATTCACTTCAACAGCCACAATAGCCGTCATGTGAACAAACGGGATCGCAATAGTACAGGAGTGCCGCGGGCCGCGATTTCTTTATTGCACCAAACGCAAAGTGCAGCAAGCGGAGCTTCTTTTATTTTTGCATTCTGCATCAATTTCTCTCGAATTTCCGCCGTTTTCAATGACAACTCGGCGCGCCAACGTCCGGAAGCCCAATCGACACTGTGTTGCTCCACAATAAACAAAGTGAAACTAGCGCTAGGCCAAGAAGAACGGAAGTAGAAAGCTACGGGCGGACATGCGCAAGCTGCGTTTTCGTCTCTCTCCCGGTTCGGTGTTTTCCGCGTGTAAAAAAGTATCGCAATTTGCGACCGAGAGTGGTCCAAGCGGAGGAAGGAGGAAAGTAGCGGGAAAAGTTAGATGAAGCGGAGTTTCCGCAATTTAGCGGGAAAGTGGCAGCTCTGCTATCCTTACCCTTTCCTTTACACACCTATTCTTCTCAGAGAGACATCTCTTTAGGTCAGCAAACCTTTCGAAATTCCCTTTTCCATTCTACTCAGCAAAGCAGGTGAAAGTTGCATCAGTTTCGGCGAGCATTATTTCGAGCTTCCACAACTTGGTTTCTGATGTTTAGAGATAAGTTGTTTTGGCCCTATTTATCTTGCTGATATGTTTAAGTTCCACTCCCTGTTTAATTAAAGGCTTAATCAACAAAATATGTTTGTGTAAATATGTGAAAGACTTCCAGAAACATAATGATCACAAAGAATCAGATCCATGTACGACAAATTCGGTACCTTTCTGAAGAAATCCCTCTGCTCCCTTAAAAAATTTTTTTCAAAAACTCACAGCGTCAACCATCTCCAACAGGGCTTTGTTACTGGCCTCCCATTTCGCTTTCCACTGAATTCCATCTTTCTCCAGTTTCTTAATCCTTTTGGTCATCTGCAAAACACAACATGAAAACATTAAAGCATAATTAGTTCATGGGACTTTAAAATATGCTCAAAAGGAGCCCCAAAAATTAAAGCATTTTCTTTGGGGGGGGGGCATTGTAAATTTCATCTTCAATTTTGTGGATACATACCATACATACATTAAAAAATACATTATCAAACATTACAAACCAAGACAAATCAATTCAATGACCAGAAAATTTAAGGGAGTGCTTATTTAGGCCACATATGGCCTAAATAAGGTAAGGGAGGGGGGTTTAGCTTATTCAGGCCACAGTGGACTGTGGCCTAAATAAGGTAAGGGAGGGGGGTTTAGCTTATTCAGGCCACAGTGGACTGTGGCCTAAATAAGGTAAGGGAGGGGGGTTTAGCTTATATAGGCCACACATGCTCAAACTACCCTTTTCAGGCAACTGAGTTCATTCCACTTTCATAATGGTGCACCTTTCTCATTTAGTACGGTTTTGTCTCAGTGTACAACTTATAAATCATAACCATAATGAATATTGTAAAGAACAAAGCACAATACGCAAAATTTTGCTCAATCCCAATGGTTTGAATGAGGGCCAGATTTTTCCTTCATGGAGGGGCAAAAGCTAGGCTACCATTTTGGCACACTTTGGTCAAGTGAAAAGGTCAAATCCTCCGAATGGACTTCCGGGTTAAATTTGGGGTATAAAAAGTGTGTACACTAGGCTACGTGGCTGAGTCAAAGTTACACTATCTTTGTCTGAGTGACACTCTCTCTTACTGTCTCGTAGTAGTACATGTAGGCTAGTAGGCCTAGTAGTAGTAGTAGCAAAGATCGTGTAGAGAATATTTGGTAGTAGATTCTATCTATAGGCAGTTTAGTGAACGTGCTCGCAGCAGGGCGAATCGGCCTCGATAAGCCCCGTAGACTTTTGTGATCGGCCACGAAGCCTCGTGTTTTGATGGGTCTAGATCTAGATCTAAACAACTCAGTGTTAATCACACTGCCACATCCGACACGCCTAGATCTACATCTTTTTAAAAGGAAAACAAAGATCATCAAAATGGTTGAATTCGCCTGAAAATCGATTCGGTAGAACTAGATCTATTAAAATTTGCTTCTGAAAACAAGGCAATTTTTATACGAAGGCCATTTTTATAACTCGGTGAAATAAAAACTACTGGCTGTGTACTGTGTTATGCTGTATAAAAATAAATTATGAAACTTCAGGACGCATTATTATTTTCCAGCATCTTTTGACGCCTGAGCTGTAGAGGTTGAAGTTTTCACAACACTAATAGATCTAGTAATAGGCCAGGTAATAGGGCTTTCCGTAAAAAATGCATAGATCTACAAAAGCCGAACCACCGAATCGACCGAGCACCTCGCTCTCCCCTGCACACTGTGATAACGTGTTGCTTCGGTATCGCATTATTCAACTATTAATACGTGCGGCTATGGCAATTGGGATGTACTGACTGACAAAAAATTCAGTTTTGTTTTTATTTTACCATATATTTGACTTAAATAGTGCAGGCGATAGCAAGATCTAGATTCCCTGTCTAGAATCAGTAGTAGCAGGCCTATGCTAGAAGTAGCCAGAGAGCCTACAACTGCTAGATCTAGATCTAACTTATTATTGCTATGCCTTTGGGCTTTGGAATTGAAATAAAACGAATTGCACAGTTCTAGTTACTTTTACATTCAGCAAGTAACTGTATTTCCAGAGTTAATAATAACAAATCTCAGCATAACAATCACTTTTACTTTTATTAGAATAATTAGATCCAACTTTTTTTCTAAAATCTGTTTTGCGCAAACTTAAGATTTTCTCTACTTGTAGAGCAGAGAATTTACATTGTAAGCCTCTGCTCAGTCTTTTAGTATACATATAATAAAATACACACACACACACATATATATATATATATATATATATATATATATATATATATATATAGAGAGAGAGAGAGAGAGAGAGAGAGAGAGAGAGAGAGAGAGAGAGAGAGAGAGAGAGAGAGAGAGAGATCTATATCATCATTTTATGTTGTTTTCGGGATATTTTTAAAACTCTTTTTTTTCAACATGTCATAAAATCAAATTGTGCCATTTTCTTTGAAAAGAATAGCATTAGCAGTGGACTTTTTAGAAAGCGAATCTTTGATTCAATATTTTTTTTAAAATATGCTAATCAATGAAAATTGCAAATTGATAATAGTTTAGTCCTGAAGAGGATAGGTGGACTCCGGGGTCTGCAAAGCGAAATACTAGGTTTTAGGATGTAAACCCCGGAGTCACCGTAGTGAAATAAGGTTTGGTTTAAGTAAGGATTGGTGGACCCCGGGGTCAACGTAGTGATAAATAAGCAGGTTTAAGGTGGACCCCGGGGTCTACCTAGCGAAATACTAGGTTTTAGGACAGGTGGACCCCGGGGTCACCGTAGTGAAATAAGTATGTTTCTTTAAAGATTGGTGGACCCCGGGGTCAGCGTAGTGAAATAAGTAGGGTTAATTTTAAAAGGATTGGTGGACCCCGGAGTCACCATAGCCGTAGAGGAATAAGGTTTAATTAAGGATTGGTGGACCCCCGGGACACCTAGATTAAACCTACTTATTTTACTACGGTGACCCCGCAGGTTCCACCTATTCTAAAAACCTAACTAGCATTTCGTTAGGTAGACCCTGGGGTCCACCTTAAACCTACCTATTTCACTACGTTGACTCCAGGGTCCACCAATCCTTAAAATTAAACCTAGATCTACATGTACTTATTTCACTACATTGACCCCAGGGTCCACCAATCCTTAATTAAACCTAGATCTACTGATTTCACTACATTGACCCCGGGGTCCACCAATCCTTAATTAAACCTATATCTACTTATAATTTCACTACATTGACCACGGGCTCCGCCAGTCCTACTATAAAATAAACTGAGATCTACTTATTTCACTATGTTGACCCCGGGGTCCACCGATCCTTAGTTAAACCTAGATCTACTACTTATTTCACTACGCTCACTCCGGGGTTCACATCCTAAATCCTAGCATTTTGTTAGGTAGACCCCGGGGTCCACCTATCCTTTTGGCTAGATAGACCCCGTAGTCCGCCTATCCACTTTCTTGATAATAACTGAAAACAATACATGCCAGTTGTCATGAATAGTGAAGAAAAATGATGGAAAAAAAAGACAATGAGGTAGACTATAATTTATCCAAAAAGTTGCAAGTGCAAGTGAAGATCATAAAATAATTTTGTATCTTCAGGTCATCTTTCCCGGTTTATAAAAAAAATTCAGTGGGCCTACTACTAGATCTGTGTCTCTGAAGAACATTTTGCTTGCCTTTATTAGCTTTTTTCATGTACATGAAAGCATAGAATATATAGTTTCACACAAATATAATATGCACAATACTTTGAAAAAGAAAGATATGGTCATTGTTTTTTTACGGAATCCGTTTTACGTTGAGAAAAGCGCTAAAAACAAGTTTTAAAATTTTAAGAATGCCCATAATATTAGTATTAGGAATCCGAAATTACTACCTAGTTGGCTTACTCTTTAATAACCATGAGCAGTTAAGAAAAAAAAAGACAATGATATAGGATTTGTCTAAATATGACCATTAGCAATAAAGATTCTACCCATTTTGTCCAATTATCCTTGCAGGTAAAATCACCCTGCACTGTACCTCAATAAGCACAAAAGGAATATTTCTGTGACTTTGTATAAAGGTGTGGCCTAAATAAGGTAAGGGAGGGGGGTTTAGCTTATTTAGGCCACAGGTGTGGCCTAAATAAGGTAAGGGAGGGGGGTTTAGCTTATTTAGGCCACCTGTGGCCTAAATAAGGTAAAGGAGGGGGGTTTAGCTTATTTAGGCCATATGTGGCCTAAATAAGGTCACCCAAAATTTAATATCTGGTACCTGCTGCGAAATTATAAGGTATCTGGTTCAAAAACACATCCTAGTGCCCACCTTTCTAAAAAGCCACCACAACATTACTTGACATTCTCTATAAACCTGTTTTCTTAACTGACTATGTTAGCCTAGCATAACTCAGCTTACCTTATCCATTTCTGTTTTGTACTTTTGGAAGGTTTCACTGCTGCGAGAATGAAGCCTCTCAAAATCATCATAGCGTTCCTTGAACATTTCCACCTGAAAATAATTTTAAAAAATTTTAAAACACAAGTCATTTCTTTCATGGCCTACCTCACATTCATACACCCCGACGCTGACAGTTCACAAAGCAAGAAACAGCAAATGAGAAGTACATACTCCAGAGAACAGCTGTTTAGCAACATAATATTGTATACAACATTGACAATAATGTGTTATACTTTGAGCACATGGAATACGGTGTTAACATTGTCAAAGAACTGCCTTTCTAGTCTGAAATCGAGCATGTTTAAAAAAATAACTTTTCTGGCGATCAATTTCTATCCTCAAACAGAAGAAGAGTTCAGTCCATGTCACATGAAAAAGAAGAACGATGTAAGACTTTTTGCTCACCTGTGCTTCTAGCATGGAATTTTTCTTCGCTTGTTCTGTAAATTTCTGCACCAACTGTGGATTCAAGAATTCAAGTTTACTTATCAAAATCATACCATCTGAAGACAGCAAAACACTGATATTAATTATCATTAAATTTCTTTTCCTTCTACAGCTCAGAACAATGGCATCAATATCCTAGACTAGCCAGCTTTCTAGATCACAAAATCTATCCCCCTTCTGAACATGCGTGGGATGAGGTGGGTTGTTTGTTTTACGGCGCTTGCAAAACTGCATTTGGTCATATGAGTGCGTAGGGCACATGTTGGACACATTAAGCATTTTTAGTTTTGGTAGGAATTAATTTAGAATTTTGCACAGGTAGTGGCCGAAGCCTACTCTTATCGATTTCAGGACCACCAAGGGATTATTAAAAAATGCACAACTTGCACACAGGACCTCAGAGATTTTTTCATTTTTGGTAAGTGTTGGATCTTTCCTACCCTAAGATCAAGGGTGTGGCTGAAAAACAGCAGTAAGAAGGAGCCAGGAGTAGCAACAGAAAAATTAAGGAGCCTAGAGGAGCAGGATGAAAGAACATGACTAGAAAGCAGGAAAGGAGGTGAAATGAGAACATTTTAGAAAAGAAAATTTGTCTTTGCAGTCAGGTTTCAACCTGCCAGGTGAACACCATACCTCAAGAGCTCCCAGGATGAGGTGAGACTGCAGCTATGGCGATGTTTACCACCCAGTTTCTTTGAATTTTCCCCAAAATATGATGGCAAAGCGTTAAGCACATCATCTCCAAACTTCAGATGAACTGGAGCAATGGCTAGAAAAAATCTGGCTGCAGATCCCCTCAACAATTTCCTAACAACTTACCTTTTCCATGTGACCACAGTATCAATCAGTCTTCAATGCGGCACTTGATCACACTCAATACTGATTTTGTGAATTGGGAAATTGGGGTGCTTAATTTGTGATGGGTACTTGCCCAAAAATGAAAAGTTCAAAGGAAATTATTTATCTTAGCGTCTTCTTTTTTAAAGTAGTCTTCAAGAAAAGGAAGGGATACTCTAAGGAAAATTCATTTTCAGAACAACATTGGATTCTATGCACAGTCTTTTTTTCTGTGAGAATAAATACATTTATAAGTTTTTCAGGGTAAAATCAAGCAACAAAAAAATCATGGTTAATAAAATGTATTCACACGAAAAATAAAGTTTTTAAATGTATGAGATTTAAAAAATTAAGTCCTAAAAAAACCCATGTACAATACAGGGTGAAACTTTACCAGTTCTTTTTCTCTTGCATTGCGTTCCCTTTCCTCCTTCAACTGCAGTTCTGCCTTGGACAATTTTGCTTCTGCAAGCTGCTGCTCCAAGTCGTGTTGTTTGCGCACCTTGTCAATTTGCTGGAAGATTAGTGAAACATGAATTAAATATCATCTCCCTATCTGCATCAGAACACACAAAGCAACATTTTGTGGAAAGAATCAGAACCAATACAGCCCAGGTCTCAATCTGACTTAAGGTCGTACACAAAGTAGTACAAGCCAGCTTTAGTTTTGTCAGCCATCCTCCGGAAAGATGTTTGGTTAAAGGACACACTCTTGCATGTAACAATGTAAAACAGAATAAAATCTTTGTGACAATTTGATATTTCGAAAGCTGAATGGAAATCTTACCTTGTAGCCCCTTTGCCCCTAGCTTTGAATTTATATATTATTTTATTTAATGTACAGGCTAACAGGTAATCTGAAACCATGAAAACAAAAACTGCAGCAATGTCGAGGATTGACATGAAAGTTTAAAGTGTAGACTGAAGCAATGTGAGTGCACCCACAAAAATAAAAACCCAGTATAATATATATCATATCAGGCAAAAGAAACGCGAGATTTTTATCGTTCTTAGAGCATGAACGAACAATGCAATGCTTTAATTGGCAACAAACAACCAACACAGCTCACTTGTCACGTCGTTCGAATAGTGATTTTGTGTTCACGAGGTCATATAGGCCAGGCCTATAAATTTGAAGCCTCGAAATATGGAATTCAGTTGAAAACAAAAGCAGTATCAAGATGCCGAGACTTTCATCAGAAAACCATGAGTGGGCTCTTAGATGACTACAGCCAGGCGAGTCTGCCTAACATATGGCAACTGTTACAGGAGTGCATGTCTCCACCATCTACAGACTACAGAACTGGTTTTGAGCTACCAACACAACCAGTGGTCTCTCCCAAAACGGAAAACCAAGGGCGACAACTGCAGCTTAAGATCGCCTCATGGTTTGCCAATGCCTGATGGATCTGTTCCTGACAGCCGCCAAGACCACCAGGAACATCCATCGGACAAACAGGACAGGCCCTCAGTATCAGGACAGTATGGCGGAGATTGCACTTCACAGGCCTCTGGTGCAGGCCATGTGCGACCCCTCAGCACCGCCGTGACCAGTCTCTGTGGTCACAGGCTCAGGTGAACTGGAAGAACAGACAATAGAGAAGGGTGCTGTTCTCCAACCAGAGCAGATTTTCCATGAGTGGAGTGCAAACTTCACATTCTGTACTGATGCCAACGTTGTGGAGAGACCCTTGGAGAGGGGCAAGCGTCATGAATTAGGGAGCCATCGCCCTAAATCCAAGAGCTGGACCAGTGTTCTTTCAGAACGTAGGTCATACACAAAGAAATTGGCTCAGTGCTACATCACCCAAGTTCTTTCACTTCACGTGATGCCCCTTTTTCAGAGGCATCCAAACTTCTTTTCCAAACAAGACAATGCGAGACCTAATACTGCGCGTGTAAATTGGCAGTTACTAGCAGAACAACATCAATCTTTAACCTCATTTGGCTTGTTCACTGGACTTAAACTCAATTGAGCACATTAGCGACATTATCTAGAGGCAGCTCAACCAGCTGCAACACTGACCAGAGAAGTGTGTTGACATTAAGTGTGTTGTGTTAATGCTTTAGCTATTCGCGTTTCTTTTGCCTCTGAGTATATACAACACTGCCCTACACAAGCAGAACAAGTCTACAAAGCATGCAGCGTATCCTCTGAACAATTTCACAAGCTAACATATTAACAGCACAATAAGATCCTGAATAATATCCATATTCATATTGACTGAATATTCATAGATTTTCAGATCCCAGCACAATGGCACACAGAAATGCTGTCTTTTTTTCTCTCCAATTTTTCTTTAAATGTAGGTGTCTTACACCCTAATGGACACAATTAAGATCATTTAGGAGTGGGCTACCAATCTTGCCTATCAGAGCCAACACTGGCTGAGAGGGATGCATCCCAGCAGAAACACTGAGAAACTCGATAAATTTTTCTCTCCCTCACTTGGCAATCGAACTCGGGTCTCCAGCATGCTATAACGAAGTTCCTGACCGTTACACAACAGACGCCAGGTAATGCTGCCTGTGTTTGAACAGTACATTGTTTGGTGTAAAGAGGTGCGGCAAACTATGAACATATGCACACAATAATATGGTAACTCAAACTCAGTTTTTACGAGGAAAATCACAAATGTTTTTTCTTTTCCTTTTGTTTATCTTGTTGCTTTGGGATTACAACTCCAGGGTTAACAAAAATAATAAAAATATGATTCCGACGACAAATTCAACTAGCTTTATAAACACTGGGAAAGCATAAGTCAAGGCTTACAGTTTCCCTAGCATCACACTGCTTGATGATATTCTGCAGCTGAGTCGCCAGCTCTCCATTTTCCTGACGCAGCTTAGAGTTCCTCTCCGTGTTGTCAGACATTTGTGTTTGGATCTCTCCAATCGTTGTCTGGGATATTCAAGTACATACAATTAGGCATTGATAATTACTAGCGAGCATGCAAACCAAGAAGAAGCGTTTTTACTCTTTTAAAAAAATCTAACTGAAAGTAAGCAATATTTTTTCATTTTGTTTCCTATTTCCTACAACGTTTAATCTTCTCTATTAGACAGAGCTACCAAGATTATAAAAATTTTCCGTGACAGGAAAAAGCTACAACAGCTCCAGCTCACTTGATCAGGAAACCTCAAACCATTGAGGCCATCATTTGAGGACGTAGCAACAAATGAGAATAAAGCTTTACTCTTGGTATCACTCCTTTCTTCACTGCATTCCCCTGCTAGACCTCAGGGGTGGTCAACTGCTGGTTCTTCAACCTGCAGTGCAATTGACTTTTACGTATGTGACCGCTTTTCCTACTTCGTATGGCCCCTTGCCCTCAGGCAGCCACATTCCGATTTCGAAGGTACTCTATATTGTTTATACTGACTAGAGTATTTTCAGTTTTGCTAGGAATTAATTTTGACTTTTACCTGGGTGGCGGCCGAAGCCTATTTTTATTGACTTTTTAGGACCACCAAGGGATCTTTCACGTGCACAACTTGCACACAGGGCCTCTGAGATTTTTTGCCCTCGTCCGAGAAAGCTTTGTACTAAATCTCACCTACCCTAAGATCAGGGATGTGGCTTAAAGACAGCAACAAGAAAGAGCCAGGAGAAAAGGAAAGAGGAGCATATAGGAAGCCAGGGATATGGGAAAAGAAAGTGAAGATGGGGTGAGAAGAGATAGTGGAGATGAAAGCAGGTGACAGAACAGGACTAGAGAACAGGAAAGGAGGTGAAAGAAGAAAATTTTAGAGCAGGAAAATTGTTCGTCGTTGTCAGGTTCTGAACCTGGGATCACTTGAATGAGAGGCAAACGTCATAACTCTAGACCTTGAGAGCCCTTTCTGTTTTTAGTAAGAGTTTTACAGCACTTGTAACACAATTGGTCATATAAGTGCCGAAGATCAGAATTGTTACAAGAGAGTAACAAACACAAAAAAAGAAGGAGGAAAAATAAGTAAGATAGATATTTAACAGAAGAGAAGGAGCAAACCACAACAGAGCACCTGCAAACTACTCACAAGAGAGCCCCTTTTCAACATTATTTCAATTAAGAGTTTTCCGGCACTTGAAAACACAAAAGGTAATATAAGTGCCGAAGATTAGAGGTGTTACAAGAGAGTAACAAAGACCAAAAAGAAGGAGGGGAGATAAGGACGATAAATGTTTGATATGAAAGAAGGAGCAAACCAATATCAGAGCACCCACCAACCACTCACACTTCCTCTCGACATGAAATGTAAACAAATTTCACTTACAAAGCACATGTCTACAATGGTTTGTTCGCTTTCTTCTGTCTGCAGCACTTTAATATTCTTATGAAAGACAGTTCAACTTTTCGAGTCTCATGTGGAGACATTTAGACCGTTGTGGGTGGAAAACTACAAGCTCACGTTGAGATGTGGGGGCACTGAGGTGCCACTGTCTCAAAATGAACAATTTGTAGGCCAGGTTGCTGTAAATCACGCATTGTTATGATATTGTGTAGGCACCAAAAATGTGGTTTATTAATATAGGGTCCAAAGAAAAAAAAAAACTTTTAAAATACAAGATTAAATTTTTTTGCTTTTATTTTTTCATTTGTTTGGTCACTGGCCTACAGGTGTGCTATGTAAAGTAATGAGCACACTGACAAATAACAAAATGAGTTATGTCTTTTTTTTAACACAGACAGACGAAAGAGAGCAAGCTATAAGAAATTGGTCAGTGCTCTTTATAATAAAACAAAGAACATCAAACAATTATAAAAAGTAAGCAAAAGCTATGAAAAACAAATGATGCTAATTTCAAACAGTTGCAGCTGTTATCATATCAGCCCCAAAAATTTCTCTCAAAAGATGTCTGCCCTGTGCAATCTTTCTTTAGCTATCTCATCTTCCAAGTCTTACCCAGTTTCTTCTGCCTCCACCTTTCTGCGCTTTACCCGTAACCCTCCTTTGTTGTTTTGACCCCTGAGGATTCAATCTTAGCACCTGTCTCGTATCACTCATCATTATCTTACTTAACACATGTCTAAATCATTAACCACTTTAACAATACCTGAAACTGAGCCGAGATTTCTTTTCTTCTCTCGTCCTCCTCACGAGCTCGTTTTATGCTCTCATCCTGAAAACAAATACCAATACATTTTAAAAAAAAAAAAATTTTTTTCAATCACAAATCATTTAACAAAGATGCACTTTGTCACAACAAGCAAACGGGAGGCAGAAGAAGATCATAATAACATTACACAAGAGTTCAACCTCAAAGGAACAATAAAATATACATAGCTATCCAAGAACGAAACAAGCCGAATCACTAAAAAAACTTTATATCCATTGTGGTGTTAAAAATATTTTTTTTAAATTGCATTTATTCATTTTTTTTAAGTCATTAAACAACACTGAGTAATGGTTCAAAAAAGAAAAAAGAAATTTAGAACAAGTTTTCTTGACTATTATTTTTTCAAAGAAACCTCTGACACATCATACAGTCCTTCTGAATTCCTTTTTCTGTCACCACCCTCTCTTTCAATTGTATTACAATTTACTGTCCATGGATCAGATAATGCACGTAACAGTTTTACAGCACTTGCAATAAAAAATAGGTCATACAAGTGCCAAAACTTAAAGTAACATACAAAAAAAAAAAAAAAAAAAGGCTGAGAGATAAGGACGAGAGTTTATGGTAGGAAAGAAAGAGCATACTACATCAGAGCACCCATCAACCACCTGCAAGTACCTGGTTGATAACAATTAAGAGTGAAAGACGGAAAAACGTGAAATGTGCTATCAACATAATGACATGTATTGCCTCGGACAGAGACAAATGGATGAAATACACTGGAGACTGTCATCCACTACACTAGATGGGGGTCCCGAATCTACATACAGTGGAGTCCGCTTAAACCAAAATCTGCAGGACCGCCCGATTTAGCCAGGTTTTTGGTTTAGAGAGATAGTTCATAAAACGAAAAAACAAAAAACAAAAAATCTGAGGTTCTATTTTCTTTCGGTTTACAGCTCTTTTTTAGGATTGATCGTGTTCAGTTTAAGCAGACTCAACTGTATAATATACATCCTTACAGAGCACAGCAGTAGGTTAAAATCAAAGTCTTCATCACTCACCTTGATGATCTTATTCTGCTTCTGGAGCTCCCGGCACAAGGACTCCAGTTTACTTTTGGCCATCATAGCCTTGGTGTGCTCTGACTGCAGCTGATCTTTTTCTCGCATGACCTGCAGCAAGTTTTTAAGCATGAATGGAGACAGGGTGCTTTTGTTTTCCTACAGAAGATAATGACAGGTGGGGGCTGCTGTTCTCTTTTCTTTTTTAGTGTGTTTTAGAGCACTTGCAACACAATTAGGTCATATAAATGCCGAAGATCACAGGTGTTATAAGAGAGTAACAAACACAAAAAAGAAGGAGTAGTAATATATATGATAGATGTTTGGAACGACAGAAGTAGCTAAACACACCAGAGCATCCGCCAACCACCCATGGATGTTGTTCTATGCGGGCTTTGTGCCCTTCATGACACAAATACAAATAACGATGATTCATTTGACCAAATGAAGCCAATCAGAGGGCACCTAATACAGAAGGAAATTTTTTTCCACAGGCATTATCACATTATTTTGGACTACTGGTGTATTTCATCTTCACTGCAAAAAACAGGGTGTGCATAGCAGGTGGAAAAGGGGGGAACCAAAAACAATCCGGTTTTTCAAAGTCCACCTACTTGTGACCCTGTGGGACCAGCTACTGCAAGCTTATAATACTTGTACAATCATCAAAATGTTACTGTGGAGAAATAGACTAAACTGTGGAACTCATCCTCCAGCAGTACAAAACACACATGGCCCTTAGACATGAAAAATGGCCAATTTCATTAGCACTCTCGAGAGAAGCCATTTACATTTTTTCAAAATGTGGGTGTTTTTCAGTCCCCATCAATACAATTTACACCATTTAGGCATTGACCTTGTCTGTCAGCAGGGCCCAGTCGGGCTGAGAGATACAACATCTCAGCAGAAAGATTGAGATATTCATTAAAAATTCTCCCCACTTGGGAATCTAACCTGGGTCTCCTGCATGAGACAGGCAGGCACCTAACCGCTACACCACAGACGCCCGCAGAGCTGTGTGGACCAGTACTGAAACTAAGCAGGATGACTAAGTATATGATAGAGATATAAATCAGTCTTTAAGTGTGATGGGATCAAGAATACCAAAAGCTTAGGCTCTCGGACTCACAACCATAAGGTCGTGGGTTCGAATCCCATCAGTGGCCCGACGTTGTGTCCTTGGGAAAGGCACTTTGCACAAATTTTCCTCACTTCACCCAGGTGGAAAAGGGTACCCAGCTATAGACAGTGAACAATCTTGTCAGTTTGATAGTGTTTGAGCGTGTGAAATCCGCAGCTTGCACTGTATGCTTCCGCGGAAGCTGAGAATGTTTCTGAGTGTTGTCAGGGGGTCTGCTAGGGTAATAATAGTAGTAAAGCGCATAGAGCATGCTCTTGAGCATGGATATGCGCTATATAAATGAAATTATTATAATTATTATTAATGATTCTCACCACGGCCATTGTTCTCTGCTGGGTCTTGAATGAGGTCTGCAGAACCCTGTGCTCCTCGTGCAGGTCAGCATACTTCTTACACAAGGCAGCCAGCTTTTCCTCAGGGCTCTGCAGGCTGTTTAGGGCTCGGAGGATGTACTCTGGGAACAAAGTTTAGAAGAAAAAACAATTGTACAAAAACTTTTTACCAGCCATTTGACATACAAGTCAACCACTCACTGTCAGGGAGAAAAGTGGTCATCTTAGACAAGGGATCCTCTTCTACAGCGTCATTATAATATTGTAAAAATGCAATGGGAAGGAGTGGTAAGTGGTCTTGGGCAGGCGGTCCTCAGAGTAGGTTGTTCGATTGAGTAATCTACTTCACGTAAGAGATAGGTTGCTTGAACCAAGCTCATCAGCAACCAACAGGGGAGGTGTAGGACACAACATTCCAGCAGAAAAATGGAAGAGACACAAGATAAAATTAACTCCACAACCAAGGAATCACATTCATGTCTTTTGTCTGCAAGGAGAAGAACCCAACCATTGCAATGCAAGTTAAAGCAGCAACAAAATCTGGGTGGGAAATGAAGAGAAGCTTACGGCAATTCTTGGCGTCATAGACAGGTCTTTGGGAAAGTTGAGTTCGGACAGCTCTAACAACCATAAAATTGTAATTTGAAAGAATGCTGATGATAGGAACAGTTTAAGGCAGCCACTATTACAGCCTTATCTCACGAGGCAGCAATTCAAAACCAAGCAAAAAAATATTTTAACTTAAAAGGCGCAGACAACAAAAAAGTAGTAACCAACATCAACCAGATGGGGCAACTCACAGAAAATCCAGAAACAGGACTATGTTAACACAGGGAGTCCCATGCTCATCTTTTTATTATTTGATACCCTTAAGATATGAATGGAAATGCAGACAACTGGACATTCTGATATCAGTTCCCACTCCATACTGCACCTCTCCCATGTTTTTTCATCTTGAAACCATATTTTTAAAAAACAATTTTTAAATAAATAATTTTTTTTAAAAATAAGTTTCCATTCAATAACTAAATTCTTTACACTGCTTTGGTTCAGTGTCTGATAGTCTCAGCAGTTCATATCAAAACAAATCCCTAAAAGAAGACAAAAGCAAATTTAGCACTCACCTATACTTTTATCCTCTTTCTTCTTGTTCTTTTTCTTCTCCTCCTTCTTGCTTTCTCTTGCAGACATTTTTCCCTTCGTGTCTGCCATTGATTTGGCTGCTGCTCCTGGTGCCATGGTGAGGACTGTCTTTCCAGCAGGTGCTGTGGCTGCAACTTTCTGCTGCTTCTGAGCATCATCGCTCAGGCTGTCAGAGCTACTCTGTAATGACAAATTGTTTGACTGTAAATGCTTTACGTTCCCATCAAATCAAATTATAAATACGTTATTTTAGAGGCTGGCTGTTTCAACCCTCTCTATCAGGGCCAAGAATGCTCTACAAAATAAGACTTTTCCTGAGTGTGAATCAAATCCACGTCTCTTAAAACATATTTCATGAAATGTCATTTTGATTGTTAGTCCATCTTTTTCATGATCATAGTACTCTTATATGTTCATAATGTGACTCGCAATAGTCAATGATTGTGTTGTAATGGTATATGTATGAAAGTCTCCTTACGAGTTAATGTAAATCCAAATAGTGTATGTATGCACATCCATGCATAAATATGTTTTTTGTGTTAAGATGAAGATATTGTGAAGTGCCTACATTTGTACTGTATGGAAATGGGCACTTTAGAAATGTTTATTATTATATTGTTATTATTAATAGAATAAAGAACACCACAAAAATTTTTAAGGGCAAACCCGAACACCACAAAATTTTAAAAGGGCAACACACCTCCCCCCCCCCCCCCTCACCCGTACACTACAATCTCAGGACCCAATACCTGCATGACAGGAGAGGCCTGCCCAGAGTCCCCGTTCACCGGGGTGTTGGTGGGAGCCACTGCTGCCTCCAGATTGCCCTCATCCGTATCTCCATCCTCATCCTCTTCTGAGTCTACATCTTCCAAGAGGTCAGCAGCAAGGGTATCCTGGTTATCTAGGCTGTAAAGGGAGAACATTTTTTAGTTTATGATCAATAGGAAAACACCTTTAAAGAAACTGACTGCTAACACAATAGAACATGCCTAAACAACTACATCTGTCCAAATAAAAATCACCTTTACAAACAAACACTTCCCACTTCTTCCCTTGTTTTTTTTTTTTATAAAGGGAACACAATAAATAAAAAGAAATTAGAGTTAGAAATACATGAAAGAAAAAAAAAAGGAATGAAGTTTTCCCCACTGTCATAACCAGAATCAAATGTTTAACCCACTGATGTTTTTTTTCTCCAGCAAAACAAACTACTGAATGTATTTTTCCTTTTTCAACTACAACTGGGAAAATATCTAGTCACTGCCACTATGAATCACATATTATAACAATTAGCAATTTGCAAAGAGTATCATTTCCAACAAATTTTTTTCCTGAAGATTCGTATCATATCATGATTTCATTCAAACAGGGGACTCCTTGGTTTTTTAATTTGAGTTCAGAGTAAATGTCACACACACAAACATAAAAAGTGAAAAATGTGCTCTCCCTAGCCCGCTTATTAACTCAACATGCCTACACCACATCAATAGAAGAGTGAAACAAACAGGGAAACAGGTCCCTTCCCTTTTCAACATACCATTCTTTAGCAGCCTGCTCCAGAAGATCACTGCCAGTGTCCAGAGTGCCAATGCCATTCATGGCTTCTGTTGGTGGCGGTTGTGTCTCTACAGTAGAGTCACCAGTCGACATCTTGGAGATCTTCTGCTCCTCGGATTCCTTACTTGTACAAGCTTCTATGGAGCTTTCCTTTTCCTTAGCGAAAGCACTTCTATCGTCACTGTCTTGACTATGGGAACAAAATGTCTGCTCACTGGTTTGAATCAAATCTTTCTTGTCTTTGACTTCACCAACAGTGTCTGCCAAATCTCTTTCCTTGTGATCACACTCAGTTATCTTTTCCAGTTCTTGAGAGTCACTAATAACCTCTGTTTCTATAGAACCTGTCCTAGAATCCTGCACTTGTTCAGAGCTGTCTTGTCCTTCAGGTTTGCATTCAAACTTCGACTCTTCAGCTGCGACTGACTTATCCACAGGTTCTTTTGCTGTTGAATCACCCTTTAATTGTTTGAGGAGCGAGATGTCACTTGCGCTGGTGTCTGTAGTATCTCTTTCCTGCTCTGAACAAACCACGTTGAGTGGCTCTACTTGCACTAATGGCACTTGAACCTCAGAGACTAGATCTTCAACAACACAACCCTCAGTTGGTAGTGGCTGTTGCGTACAACCAGAAAGTGATTCCTTTGTCTTGGACTGACTCGAAAATTCCACCAAAGATTCTTCAAAGTCGGCCTGGACACCGTCTTCCTCCGAAAGAATGTGCGAGTCTTCTTGGGCTGAAGGTTTAGCTTCCTTTAAATTCTCTTCCTCTTGCTCAGCACTGTCGGGAGCAGAATCTATTATGACTGGAACACTATCTTCTCGACACCCTTCAGGAATATCTGGACAACAGTGCCTTTCCTCTTTAGGTAACTGCTCAGTACAGGAGACCAAAGTATCCTTAAAATCAGGAGGTGCCTGTGTAGAACCCACAGAGTTTGCTTTAGCCTCTGGCTGACGATGTCCAACTTTCACCTGTTTTGGGCTGCCACAAATAGATACTTCTTCCGTGGTCTGTGGACAAAGGGAGAAAATGGGTCATGAGAAAACACCATAAAATGCACAAAACCAGACATGTCTTCCTTATATGCTATGAAGAATTTTTTAAAAATTTAAATGTAGGTGCTTTATGCACCCATCAACATAATTTAGATAATTTAGAAGGCAAGCCTTGACCATGTCTATCGGGAACAACTCTGTTTGAGAGGGGTGCAATGTCCTCCCATAAAGATAGAGATAGTCAATAAAAATTTCACAAACACTGGAATTGAATGTCTAAATGACAGACACTGGTACCCAGAGCTTAGCATAGAGAAGAAGGAAAAAAAAAGAAGGTAGAAACAGCACATGGAAGAACATCCAATCAATAATGAGCATCTTGCACAGATGTGCATGAGCTATTTGGGTTTTCGTTACCAACAAATGGGTTATAATACCTCCTCCAGGAACACAGTGCACCCAGTTGTTACCTCTTAATCCAAAACATACTGCATGGAAGGAGATGGGAGAAATTACAGATTTATATACAGGCTTGTCAACTTGTTTAAACACTAATCAAGGACCCAGGACACCTACCATTAAATATTATATTAGATAACAATGAACAAAATATCATCAAGTGGGACTGGTTTTGGTGCAGTAGGCTAAAACATCCTCTCAAATTTCCGATTGCCAAATCTGGGACAGTCCTGGTATATTTGGGACTGTTGGCAAACCTGTGTTTATTAAACAACTTTGGCCTGGTAAGGCTACAGTCAACCCTGACCACATGTCCAAGACAATCAGTGCACCTGAACAAACGACTACTTTCCCTTCCAACTTGCCCCCCCTTACATTTTTAAAAATGTAATAATGACTGTCCAAAACGTTCACCTAAGGCAATCGCTGCACTCCTCTACAATGGGTGGCTGTCCTAGCTGGACAATTTCAAAAGTACTCAGGATGTTTGTGGTGAGTCAACACAATTGTTACTTTGACCACGTTCTGTCACAAAGTTTGTAGTTTGAGTAAAGAGAGGCACACTGACACAATAATGGTCATTCAGTGCTGGGAAAAGCAAAACGGACAGACGGAAAAACACCAAAAGGGAAAGAAAAGAAGTAGGACCTGCCAGTATCGCCCTCCAACCACCTAACAGTGTAACATAAATAGGTCATATAAGTGCCGGAGATTAAAGAGGTTACTAGAGAGTAATCTACAAAGAAAAGAAGGAGGAGAGATAAGGACAATAAACGTTTGATAGAGAAGAAGGAGCTAATTACACCAGAGCACCTGCTAACCACCCACAAGATATATATGGACAACAGTAACCCTTGAAAAAAAGTTGAAAGGGCAGACCAGACAGAATATTTCTCAACCACCCGTGTAATCACTGACTGATTGAATGTAAATGGTTTTTTTAACTCATCAGCATAATTTACATCATTAGGGCGCTGCCTGCTCCCTGTCTGTCTGTCTGTTTGTCAGGGTCAAACTCGGCAGAGTTGGATGGATTCTCAGCAGAAAGACAGAAATGCCCCATGAAATGAATTTCCTCAAATGGGATTCAGACTCCAGAAATTTTGCATGCAATTCCACGAGCAAAAATAGGTATGACATAAAAAACACAGGTGTAATCACTGAGGACACAGAAAAGAAACACTTCTGGCTACAATGCTGAAACAAGCTTTAGAAACTGTGTGCCCTCAAATCCAAATTTGGTATTCAGCTTCTGTACAGAGTGCACATATCTATAAGAATTAAAACTCCCAGCCAAAGACAAAGATAAAGAAAAAATCTTCTTGGTTCTGGGTGACATCATTTATAAAACTCACTTGATTTTCAGAACAAAAGAAGTTCAGGCATCTCCACATTTTGTCACAATGTGCACAATAGAAAAGTCAATAGTTTCCTCACATTGTTGGAACTTTTCACTCCAGCCTTGAGGCCCGAAAATAATCATCTATGTCTTTCAGTACAAACACACTAAATTCCCATAGGAAAAAAGTGAAAGAATATCACTGATACAAAATCAGTATGAACAGCTGAATACTTATTGAGTGAAGAAGGTAAACATAGACGGTACACAATACACATCTTTTTGAGAGGCCTGTTTGGGAAACAACACTTAAGTGATATAAATTGATTACTCCACAAAGTAAGTCATGAAAGATCACCTAATATGCCTGTGCTGAACACCTATTATATTAAATACAAAGTTAGTAACAGCCCTGACAAGTTCACGTTTTAAGAATTCACCATGAGATATTTATTTTTACTTGGAACTTGTGGCAAAGCCACTCCTTACGTCAGATTAAAAAAGGAAAAATAATCCTAAAACGAAATTATGAAACATCATGTTTTCAAAATGAAATTGTAAAAAAAGCAAAAGAAAATGAAGCAAAACAGATGAACTGAAACTGATGAGTAGGGAGGACAGGGATTGAAAACTAATCCAACACTAGTTACACACGAGGGATATACAGTGTAACAGTTTGAAACCACGTGCTCTAGTTTCCCCCACTATTTCTCTTTTGTGCCCGTCTTTTCCTTTCACTCCCCCCTACATACAACCAGGTGAGTGTGAGTGTGAGTGTGCGCACGTGTGTATGTGTGTGTGTAGTAGTAGCAGTAGCGGCAGCAGGATCCTAGCATAGCAGTATTGCCCAGGGGAACAAGGAGCTGAAGGGGACTGGCGAAGCCTGCCTGACGGGGGAGGAGAGAGGACGTGAACACACGGCAGGCAGATTCTGGAGATAATAGATCAGAATGATTCCCGGAATGCGTTGGCCTACCTGGCGAGGAGGACCGACCTTCCGGAGACCTAGTGGAGGCAGGTAACGGCGAGTCAGCATGATCATGTCTACATTTTACCAGTAAAGTACTGTAAAGGGTTATCTTATGACCATGGTCACGTTGAAAACAAGGAGCATAAAAGCAAACCACTCCACGTGGCCCTCAAACTGTGTGTGGGACTGCCAAAAATTTTAAAGCACAGTACCGTAGCACAGTAGTGTAAACGACGATTCATTGCGATGAGGTTAACGGCTAGTCACAGCAACTGCCACATTCCACCAGATTTGTTTCAGTTGAAAAAAAGCAGCGCATCGTTTAAGAAAGTAAGAGATTCACGGCACTTGCAAAACAATTTTAGATCAAATTTTAAGAGCCGAAGATTAGAGGTGTTTCTGGGGAGTTACATACCACAAAAAAGAGAAGGGGTAAAAACGATAGATATTTGATAGGAAATACGGACCAAACAACAAGAGCATTCGCCAACCACCCGGCAGTAAAGACAACAGTAATGTTGAAAACAAGGAGCAGAAGCAAACCACACCACGACGCCCTAAAACTGCGTGCGACACTGTCCAAAAAAAAACCCCACAAGAAAAGCACAGTAGTGTAAGCGGCGATTCGTCGAGATGCAGGGTTAACGGCTGGTCACAGCAACTGATTCTGCCAGATTTAGATTTTGTTTTGTTTTTGTAAAGTGTTTTACGGCGCTCACAACTGCATAGGTCATATGAGCGCGCGGGACACCCCTGATATTTCCAGTTGGTAGGAAATTTTGAATTTTGCCCGGGTGGCGGCCGAAGCCTACTCTTATCGATTTTAGACCACCAAGGGATCTTTAACGTGCGCAACTTGCACACGGGCCCTCCGAGATTTTTCGCCCTTGTCCGAGAAGGCTAGGTGTAGATCTTTCCTACCAGAAGATCAGGGGTGTGGCAGAAAGACAGCAGTAAGGAGGAACCAAGGAGTAGCAGTAGAAAGGCTGCATAAAGAGTCAGGAGCCCAGAGGAGGGGGCAAAGGAGGCGAGGGGGTGGGGGCAGAAAGTGGAAATGAAAGCAGATAACAGAACATTGCTAGAGAGCAGGAAAGGAGGTGAAAGGAGACTATTTTAGAGAAGAAAATGTTTCGGTCGCTACCCGGATTCGAACCCGGGACCTTTGAATGAGAGGCCAACACCTTAACCTCTAGGCCACGAGAGCCCCCAGATTTAGATTGAGAAAAGAGCAGCACATCGTTTAGTTCAAAGTTTTATGGCACTTGCAACAAAATTAGGTAATTTAGGTGCCGTAGAGTATATGGGTTACTGGGAGAGTAACATACGATCAAAAGAAGGAAAGACAAGGACGACAGATGTTTGACAGAAAAGGCGCACCCGCCAACCACCCACGCAGCATATCGGCTTCATTTATTAGAGCTAGACAACACAGATTCAACAAAGTGGGGAAACAGTAGGACCTACCAAAGGCACCCAGTTACCACCCACTCTTCGTTAAGAACGTGGTACGTCAATAGAAGCACCGACAATAATAGAAAGAAGAAGGCCACAAGACCATGCCCACTCGCAAAGCTGTCAAGACTATTCTATGAAAGAAAATCGGGCTGGCCCCGACTGTATCAAATTTAATAGGCAATATGCACAGGGTATATGTATTGTCAAACGATCCTGTGGGGATCACAAAAAGAAAAGACTCGCATCAGCCGGCCCCGTACCTTGTTGCGCGCACATGTGTCTATTTGTGTGTGTGTGTGTGTGTGTGTGTGCGTGTGTGCGTGCGTGTGCGCGTGCGTGAGAGATCTTTTTTTTTTCTCTATTCAATACAACTAAGGGTTTCAATTGGTCGCTTTTAAGCACAAGGGGGCTATCCCGAAAAATGCGGTTTTTAGAAAATCGAAGGTAAAGTTTTTACCGAAGTTAAAGTTTTTACCCCTTGTTCAGTTTCTATAAAAGACAAGGAGAGTTTTTTCTATAACAAAAAACAAATATACACACCAATGAAACCAAATTTCTCCTATAGGTAGGGCAATGCCCACTTTTGTTGAATGTCAAGATTTCTGAAAACCCCCGAAATCTGGGTTAGAAGCTAGCCCGTTTGTCCAGCCACCAATTGATTTTGGGCTTTTGCGGCACTGTCGCAACTTATTATGACCATAACTTATATACAAGCAGTCGTTGAGTATGGTCAGAGAGGGTTTACAGTAATATGGTGAAACACAATTATAACGGCCAATTTAGTGAGGGTGC